GATATGACTCTCTAAGAAACCCCATTTGAACCTATCGTAAGATTTCTCAAAATCCACTTTAACGACAAGACCCTTAACTTAAGACCTCTAAAGCTCCTCCACAATTTATTAGCAATAAATACATCAAGGATTGTGTAACCCAATGAACTGTAATTGATGGAAATAATATTCAAGAGGTCAAAAAAAGCAAAAGGTTTATTTCAAAAGAAAAGGCAAAAGAAGTATTTAACATGGATGATACCATTCAAGATGAAAAAATAAACATGAAGTAGTTGCACTCACACAAGAAGTGAATACAGAAGCCAACACGAAAGTACTACTGCAAGTAGTTTTTTTCTCTTAGACAACAGAATCATTAGGCTATTGTCCCATATTTAAGGATGAGGTTATGAGTTGAGATATGTGGAATTTAGAGTTAGCGTTTGTTGGAGAGAACCCACCAATCTCTAGATTAAGTACTCTACAGCATGTTAGTTTTCTAGTTGATTTTCTTCATGCAGATTGTTTACATACTTATAGATAAGTTCATAAGCTTTTTTTTAACAACCGTCAATAAATTCTTAGTCTATTCCTAATAATGATAAGTATCATAGATTCCAGTTCATAATTTTAAAGATCTAAATCTAGAATTAAGAATCTTTAGTGATCCCCAATTAACATAAAATAGTTCCCGTTCTAGCTATTTCTGTACTCCTACCCTAAAAATCCTATCTTTCCTTAAAAAACCTCAACTTAAAAAAAGTTATGGAGATCAGTCCAGATTTCCTCTCCTGCATGGTCCCTGCACCTACACCATTATTTTCTTCTGCAACTTCTTTCTTCCACCTCCTTTTCCTTTGCCAATTCCTGGAGCATAACATTATTTATCTATCTTTAATGAACCATGGTTGTTGGTAAATTCCAGGCATTAATCAACTCCGGATTTTAAGAAAAAAGAACATGAACCAAGAGGGAATCAATTGCAAAATTAAATCCATACGTTCACCACCAAATCCTCTACTTCCTCTGCACATGTTCAAGCCACAGAGAGGACAAGTTTACAGGTTATCCGCATGAGCCAATCCGTGCAGTTTAAACTCCAAAGATGACCCCATTGTATATTTCAATTCAACATCAATCCTTCCATCCTCTTTCTTTCTTATTCACTCAAGTGACCCTATTTTTTTTTAAATATAAGAAAAGTATTACTATGCACATTCACTCAAGTGACCCTATGGAAGCTACAAAATGATGAACCATGGAAAAAGAGCTAGCAGTATGAATATAAAGTTATTCCATCTGCCCAAACTATTCTGCACATGTAAAGAGCATCAGAAGCAAAAGAAAATTTGGAAGAGGTATAAGTGAATAACTTACTCTAGGTGAGGAGGAAATGGATATTCTACACCAAGTCTTGCAGCAATTGGTTCATCGGCAAAAACAGACCCTGGTTTTGAACTACTACCAATATCTCTGATCAAAGTAGCATCCTTCATTTTAGATGTTGACTGTTTAAAATCCTTCATACCTTGAGCCTCAGTTTGTTCAGCCTGCTTACTAGCCCTCCGAACAGATAAGACTTTACCAAGAAACCTCAGCCTGACCTACCATGAACAGACAAAAATTCAATGGCTATACCAATATTATTGGATAAAATTTGATCAGCTGAGGTACATGCTAAGGTTCAGACAAACAGGAACCAATTCCACTTCTTTTTTCTTTAAGCAAGAGAGAGAGAAAATCAGCAAGAAGAGATATTTACCCATTTAACTGACGTTGTGCTTGAGAAGCCAATGCTTCATTTTTGAAATCCACAAATGCACAATTTCTCAATCTGCAAGAATCAATAAATGTTACATGATGAGCATCTATTTATCTGCATACTAAAGGGAATAAAATTTAGACATTTATCAATTCTTATTTGATTTTATGAGGCAGCCAACATGAGAAAGGATGATATCATGGCTAAAAGTTTGAGAGGAAATAAAGTTTGAATCAGTGGTAATGGGATAATGATGGCCCAAATGAGAGGAAAAATAAAAGCAGGTATCGGAAAGAAGCCAGAATGGTCTCAACTTTTTGACATTTTTGGTTTGATTTTGGTTGTTCCTGATAAGTTTGAGGGTTTCATTGTATCTACCTTTAGGGGCTTTAGGAGGAGGAAAGAAAGCTTGGAGTTCTGGAGGAGGGTGGTTTTCACTATTTTATGGTGATCTGGTTGGAAAGGGATGCTAGGATCTTCAGAAATCAAACCTCTCCATTTTTGGTTATTAGGGATAAGATGTCCTTTTTGGTTTCGTCAGGTGCATAGATATTTTAAGGATTACTGTTTATCTTTGTTGCATCAAGCTTGGATGCCATTCCTTGTCGAAAGGGTGCTTGACTATAACTTCTTTTCTTTTTCTTTTTCCTTTTCCTTTTTGTAAGGATATCTAATCATCCTATATTTTCTGTGAAATACAAAAAGATTATGTACAAGAACCTGGAAATATAATAAAGCAAAAATTTTTAACGCAATTGATTCAATCTCCCAAAGGCTTCATTAGTGACACTATGCTCCCCTTGAGGAGCGTGTGAGTTCAATCCCCCCTAGATCCAATTATGATGCCATAGAGAAAAGCAAAAACTATAAATTCCATAGTTGAATAGACTTAACAAAAAGATTCTTTAGTATAGGTACCTGCCACCTGAACAGGGACGAACAGCAGAAGCACCATAGTGTGAGAAGAGTCGAGAGAGGGTATCATGAGGAATTGCTTCAGGAAGGTGCCGAACCAAAAGGGAGGTGGATGATTCTGATTCTGTAGATCTTGACGTTGTTTCTTCTGTGCCTTGAAACCCAAGATATTGTTCTTGGGGGTTGACAAAAACTTGTGACGACCGAATAGCAGCCATCCATAAAGTATAAAGTCAATTTACCACCTATCACAAAAAAGCAAATAAAATCCTCAATTGAGAAGGGGAGGAACTAAGAAGAAAATACATTTTAAATGAAGAGTCAATGAGTATACTGTGAGTAAAGACATTTAGCAAAATTTTAAACCTGTCTTACATTACAGCTCCCATCAATCAAACAACTATGCACAAATATATTACGAACACCAAAATTAACCACATATGCAAAAGCACTTACATTTCGCTCCCGATTTATGGATCTCGTTATGGGATTTTATTAATAGTACGGGCTCGTTGAAAGAATCCAGTGATCTCTGATTTTTGTTAATAGTATGGGCTAGTTAAGAGAGAATTCAACAATCTCCTATTTAAGAAAGTACTCAATACTCTTTAATAAATTCTATAAATTTCCTATTGCCCAAAAATTTGTCAAAGAAGACAGCATGTATTTATACAAGAGAAAAAGTAGCTATCTAGAAGTTATTTCCAGAATTAACTACTTACTTCTCCTTATCTAGACTTATTCTCCCTAATACACATGTCCATACTTAACAGATCGTCTTACACATAACACATATTGATCTATTTTCCCCAATAAATTTGTCTATCCACTTAACACGTCATTATTCTCCTTAATACACCACACTATTACCTATAACAAGTTATTACAGATGCTAATTAATGCAATATGCAGAAGGCATCAATTAGAACAAATATGAAAGTATTTGGTCTCAACCATCATGTACCATGTCCCTATACAAGTTAAAGATCTGTTTCACATCAACCATTTGGGATATGGCGATACTCATCCATCAAAGTATCGCAAATGTACAAATTTGGGAGAACAGCATGCTCCCCGTTGACCTGAACATGCATTCAGCTTCTGTAGTTTTATTTCGTTTGCACAAATAACGAACAAGAACAAAATTACATCACAGCAATCGGTTCAAGCCTTTAACTACCAGTTCATCAATATATGTGTGTGTGTGTGTGTGTGTGTGTGTGTGCCCTTGAAACATCGCCGTGACCAGAGAAACTAATTAGAATGCCATACATGACAGTATCAGGAGTTAATTTCTTCGACACCATATATTGGAAAACTTCCCGCATGGAATCAAATTTTACCCATTTTAACCAACCCATTTAAGAGCATATAGCAAGCTTGAAAATTGTTCAGCAGTTCACCCAAGTTTTTGAAAGTCTGCTTACCTGAACAGGATTGAGAAAGAGTCGCGCCGAACAAGTGATGATATATGCTGCAGGGTTCACTTTTTTATCTTCTTGTCGCGAGAAATGGCGAGAGAGAGAGAGCCGAGACTGGAGAATGTTTCGGGCTTCAATGGATTAGGGTTCTTGAGTAGAGGCTTGATGATTTAAAGCTTCGGGCTGAATCAGATGCATGCAAAGAGATATAAGGAGCTTGTAACCAGAGTATCTTCTCCGTTGCAACTCTACAGTTCGTTTAACTGAAATTGATTTGAAGTTGCAGTTCGATTTCTTCCATTTTCGATTTTAATTTCTGTTTTATAAATTACAAAGTTTAGTTCTGGATTTGGTGGTAAAAAATTTATAAGATGTTAAAAGGACTGATTTTATAAAATACGTAAGAATATATAAATAATATAAAATAATTATTTTATTTTTTATTTTTTATTTTCACTACTTTAAAATCTATAGACTATGGTGATATTTTAAAGAATGTATAAAAAATATATAATTTTATTTTATAATGTTTCATCATTTGTATTTATATATCACTAGTTAATTAGTTTCTTTAATTAATGCATTGTTTGATTCTCTTTAATACATTGAATTTGAACGTTGTAAAATAGTAAATTTTATTAACTTTTGAATTACAATATAGTAAATCTTTAAAAAAAAAATTATAAATTTTTAAATTAAAAAATTTAAAACCATAATAGGTGAAACCAAAATTTGATCAATTTATAATAATTGTGTGTAAAAATCGTGAATCGAAATTTAAAACTTGATTGGATTATTAACTGTAGCACCCGGAAAGGAGGAGGAAAAAAAAAAAAAAGCCACGTCAGCAGCCACGTCAGCAGTCCCGGCCAACCGGGGCCTGCCACGTGGCAAGACCACGTCACTCCGAAGGGTAGCCACGTTGGCGATCCGCGTGGGTGAAATCCGACGGCCCAGATCAATCGCGCGATCGGACGGCCCAGATACAATCGCACGGACGGCCCAGATTCAATCAAAAACGAACGGCCCAGATTAAAACAAAATGGACGGCTGAGATCAAAAGGCAAGGGGTTATAAATAGAACCCCCACACCAGACCACAAACCCTAGCCGCCTGCCGCTCGCCGGAGAAGACGAACCAGAGGCCGACCGCCGTCACCCGCCGCCGCACCGGGGAAATTTCCGACCGCCGATCGAGGTAAATCTCATACCCCCGACTCGTTTTTCCACGCTGATTCCTCCTATGGCCAAATCGAAGCCGAAATCCCGGCCAAACGGCCGGAATACGCGGCCGAAGACCAGCGGCGCCGCCGCGCCCCCTCTCAGTTTTTGCCTCCGACGAGGCCCTTCCCGGCCTCCGTTCGATGCAATTTTTATATCACCGTGATCACCATTCTTTTCTCTACAGGTTGACCGGAGCCGAATCACCAAAACACGAACCTCGCCGGAGAGCCGCCGCACCCGAGAGCGCCGCCGCCGGTAAGCTCCGTTTTTCCTTGATTTTTTGGCCCCCCGAGGGCCCTAGGGTTGTTTTCTCACAAGGACCGATGCGAGTGTGGCCGAATTCGGCAGAAAACGGCCGAAAACAGCCAACCCGAGGCGACTCGCCGCCGCCAGCGGCGGCGCCGTCGCCGGAGCACGGCGGAGCCGCCGTGCCGGAGTTGCGATTTGGGCCGAAAGAGGCCCTGGGCCTAATTTGGGTTTTTTTTGGAACACGTGCAGGTACTGTTAGTGTGTTTCAGTTCCCCGGAAAAAATTCAGGGAAAATTAGGGACGGCCTGCAGTCGCACTGTGAATCGTATTCGGATCCCGAAAACAAGTAAGGACCCCTCACCCTATTTCCTATCACGGTATTAAAGTTCAAAATGATAAAACGGTATTTCTTGAATTAACGAATGTGTGAAATTGCTTAAGGCGGCTAATGGAGCCCGAGTCTAGTGTGATTGGTGATTTACTGTTATTTGGCCTGTTTACAGCTTTAAATGCAAAATGAGGTTTGATGTGTTCATTTTACAGATTTGTGTGCATATACTACGTTTTTATTAATCATGGGTTGAATGACTGAAAAACTGATACTGTATGTTGTCTGTTTGGCATGAATTACTGTTTTGCTTGTTTGTATGTGAATTGATGATGCTGACTGAGGAAAAGGAAAAAGAAATATTGTGTAGACTGATAATTGTATTATGGGGGTCAGCCTGACTAGATATCCTGGGAGATGGTGGACGGACCGGGTCCGTAGGGAACCCTACCGGGATTGTGGTCTCACATGCCGGACGGAGTATGGAGATCTTATGGTTTGGCGCCCATACCGGACGGGGTATGGGGACGGCCCGTTTCACCCTCATACCGGACGGGGTATTGAGGTTTATGGTTTTGGCGCCCATACCGGACGGGGTATGGGGACGGCCCGTTTCACCCTCATACCGGACGGGGTATTGAGGTTCATGGTTTTGGCGCCCATACCGGACGGGGTATGGGGACGGCCCTGGAAACTGATTATGAATGTTAAAGGTTAACGGGTAGCGGAACCCCTATGGACCCCCACGGATACTAGTAGGCTGGTAAATGAGAAAAAGATATGTTGTACAATGATTGAATTACAAAAGGCGTGATAAGTGTTATGTTTTACAGCTTATATTATTCCATGATTATGATAACGTTATTGTTTTCTTATATTGTTTTCA